GGGTTTGAACCACCAGCCGTCTGGTTAGCAGGCAAGTGTCTTAACCACTATGCTACCAGAGCTCCCATGTGCTTCCTTAGTAGCTTTCATTTAAGATTTATGTTGTTAGATATTATTATTTGTATTTAGCTTTTCCACAATGTGCATTTATTATAACACCATGTACAGTAGTTTTATGAATTAATTTCTGATCTCATTCCATATGATAGATTTCTAGAAAAGGGAAATACTTGATTGAAAAAACAGCAGTTGTAGGACCCTTGATTCATTTTTGTCTGGAAATGCATAATTTTTTTCCCTATCTGTACAGTCTCTGGAATCAGTTTTGCGCCACCCAGCGGATAACCGCACTCAGATCCGGGAACTTGGCCAAACTCTGATTGACGGAGGGATTCTTGATGACATAATCAGTGAGAAACTGGAGGCATTCAATGGCCGATATGAAGAACTGAGCCACCTGGTAAGGCTCAGGACATGCATGAGTACTGACAGGTGTCAGTGATATGGCGCTGACCTCAAGAAAGAGAAGTTGGTCACAACGTTAATGGGGACTTTGAAGTAGTAGGTGGAGCACGAATTGATGTAACATTTGTAAGGCAGATAGAACTGACAGTTAAAAAAAATGTCTCCGAGATAGTTTTACCTGTGAGCTATTTAATTTCAATTAAGGATCATATTGTGTTGTTGTTAGGTACCGTCAAGTTGGAGCCAACTCATAGCGACCCTGTATGCAGCAGAACAGAGCACTGTCTGTTCCTGCGCCGTCCACAGTCCTTCCTGTGCTCGAGCCCACTGTTGCAGTCACTGTGTCAGTCCATATCACTGACGTTTGCCCTGTTTACACTGACCCTCTCCTTTACCAAGCATGGTATTCTTCTCCAGGGAATGTTCCCTTCTGAAAACATGACCAAAGTAGATGAGACGAAGTCTGGCCATTCTTGCTTCTAAGGAACATTCTGGTTGTACTTCTTGCAAGACAGATTTGTTTGTTCTTCTGGCAGTCCAAAGTATTTTCAGTAGTCTTTGCCAACACCACAATTCAAAGGCATCAGTTCTTCTTTGGTCTTGCTTATTCATTGTCCACCTTTCATATGAGGTGATTGACAATCCCATGGCTTGGGTTAGGTGCCCCTTAGGATCATATATAGCTGTATATAATATTACACCCACTGCCATTGAGTGGATCCCAACTCGTAGTGACCCCCATTGGGTTTCCAAGGTTGTAAATCTTTATGAAAGCAGAAAGGAAGTCTCATCTTCCTCTGGCAGAGCAACTGGTGGGTTTGAACTCTCATCCTTGGGTTTAGCAGCTGAATTCCTTACCCACTATGCCACCAGAACTCCTTATATATAATAGTGTATATTATAAAAGTAGTATATAATAATATACAGTAGTATAATATATAGTCATCATAGAATGAAATAATATAATTATAACTCATATCTTCCTAATAAACAGTAGGGTCACCAGAGGTACAAATAGGCTGTTATGAAGTGTCACAGATCCCTTAGTTACATATTCAGGATGTACCATAAAAAACATGCTCATGTCAGGAATTACAGGAAGGAGAGGATTCTTTTTTAGGAAAGGAGAGTGGATTTCAGAAGCTTTCTAATACATATTAAATAATAACTGTAGATGTTTATGTCATGAATAGCATCACGCTTAATCCAAATAGTTGTGCAGCAAATAGTTGTTTAATGCAAACCTATATCTGTAGAACTTATTTTAGACTTTGAAAGAGATTCAGGTATCAATAGAGATGCTATTGATGGGTACTCTTTCTTTTTCTACATTTTATTTAGGCTGTACACAGCGAAGCATACATTCAACAGTTTCTACAAGTACAATTTAGTGACATTTAGTACATTCTTTGACTTGTGCGGTCATTCTCACCCTTTTTCCATCAACATGAACTCATTGCCCCCTAGGGTTCCTATCTAATCTTTCAAGTTGTTGTCACTTTTGTCTCATATGCATAGTTCTTAAAAAAGTGTAATGCTCAAGGCAGACATTTTTTACTAGTTCAGCTCAGCTGTCATTTTGTTTTATGATGACTTCAGGGTGTATTTTTGATTTAAGGTTTAAAGTTTGTTTTAAGGTTTAAAGATTACCTCAGGGTCATAGTTTCAAGGGTACATTCATCTTCCATGGCTCTAGAAAGTCTGTAGTCCATGAGAATTTGAAATTCTGTTCTGTACCCTCCCCCCCTTTTGTAAATATTCTTTTGTGGAATCTTTGATCAGAAATTCGATAGCCAGGCACCATCCAGTTCTTCTGTTTTCATGGCAGAGGGGACAGTTTATGGGCAGTTAGCTACACATTCCGTATCTTCCTCCTGTATTTTCTTCTAAGAATTTCATGATTTTAGTTTGCATATTTAGGGCCTTGCTTCATTTTGAATGTGTTTTGTGTATGGTGTGAGGAATGGATCTGTTTCATTTTACTTCATTTGGAAATCCAATTTTCCCAACACCATTTATTGACGAGACTGTCTTTGCCTCATTGAATGAACTTGGCCCCCTTGTTAAAAATCAGCTGACCATAGGTATGTGAATTGATAGACATTCTTGTTACAGTTTATGTCTTACTGGTAATCTGTAATACTTTTATAATTCATTTTATAATACATTTTTATCCTCTTTTTAATATATTATATTGTTGTTGCTGTTATATGCCTTCAAGTTGGCCCCGACTCATAGCAACCCCTCCTTGGGTTTCTGAGGCAGTATCACTAGAGAAGTAGGATTGCCCAATATATTATGTAGGAAATCTTAATATTTTTATATTTTATCTTGTGCCATAGTGCCTAAGGCTTTTGACTGCTAACCAGAAGGCTGGCAGTTCAAACCCACTAGCTATTCCTCGGAAGGAAGGTTGGGCAATACACTTTCTTAGTGATACTACCTCAGAAACCCAAGGAGGGTTTGCTATGAGTTGGATCTGACTTGATGGCAGTGTTTGCTTTGGGAGCTCTGGTGGCATAGTGCCTAAGACATTTGACTGCTAACCAGAAGGCTGGCAGTTCAAACACGCCAGCCACTTTTCAGAAGGAAGGTTGAACAATCTACTTCCACAGAGACACCGCCTCGGAAACCCAAGGAGGGGTCACTATGAGTTGGATCTGACTCAACAGCAGTGTTTGGTTTGGGAGTTCTGGTGGCGTAGTGCCTAAGACATTTGACTGCTAACCGGAAGGCTGGTGGTTCAAGCGCGCCAGCCACTCCTCAGAAGGGAAGTTGAACAATCTACTTCTGCAGAGACACCGCCTGGAAACCCAAGGAGGGGTTGCTATGAGTTGGATCTGACTCCACGGCAGTGTTTGGTTTGGGAGCTCTGGTGGCATAGTGCCTAAGGCATTTGACTGCTAACCAGGAGGCTGGTGATTCAAACGTGCCAGCCACTCCTCAGGAGGAAGGTTGGGTTATCTACTTCTGTAGAGATACTGCCTCAGAAATCCAAGGAGGGGTCGCTATGAGTTGGATATGACTCAGTGTCAGTGAGTTTGGTTTTTGGTTTTATAGAAAAAATAAGAATTAGTAACTCATTGCAAGAAACATAAGATATTAGAAGGACATTTTATTTCTTATCATTGCTAATTATTATTTATTTATAATGAAAGTCCAAGTCATCAAGTAATGCTCTTATAGTCTATTTCTTTTCATGGTGTTCAGAGTATAAGTATGTCCTTGTATTTAGTTATTTATATTTGTGCTGAGCAACTAATGATTAACTTTCTCCCCTGTGTAGGCAGAGAGCAAGCAGATCTCCTTGGAAAAGCAACTGCAGGTCCTGCGGGAAACTGACCACATGCTTCAGGTCTTGCAGGAGAGCTTAACTGAGCTTGATAAGCAGCTCACAACGTACTTGACGGATCGAATAGATGCCTTCCAAGTTCCACAGGAAGCACAGGTATTGCCAGGGATTTGAGGGCTTTTTCGTTGGAAAGAGAGCATATGTAATGGCTTCTCCAGCTTGAAGCAAGCTCTGCCATCCAAAGAAAGCTAAGAATTAGTGAGAAGGATTGACCTTATTTATAGGGCAGTTTATGGGTTTTGGAGTTCTTTTGCTGTCTGTTTGAGACCCTGGAAGATAGTCCTAATCTTTATCGTCTCTTTATGAAAGTGGAACAGTTTTTTTTTTATAAATAAGTTGTGAGCATTAGCAATGACAAATGCAAAGACCTTAGAATGTACATAGTATATAGTCCTGCAAAATACAGTGTGCCCCTTTTATTATAATGTGGAATTATTAAAGCTTATTAAAAAAATCAGTTTAATACATGATTGTCCCTCCCTTCCCCTTCCCACCCTGGTACCTGTCAAAGAACAATTCCTTCTGTGTATTAATATATTAACTTGAGTGAAAGGAAAGGCAATATACAGTAAGGGAGAGGTCAACACAAAATGATCAAGGAAGTGGAGGATATGTGGAGGAGCATAAGAATTAAGGGCAACAAATGTGACTACTGTTACATACACAATCCTGTGATAATAGTAATAACAATAGTTTGTGAGTAGAAAATCAAAGAAGCAGGAAACAGTCCAAAGGACTAACAGAACATGGGAACCCCAGCCTCAATGACCCTGAGGCCAGAAGAACTAGATGGTGCCCAGCTACCACTGCTGACCCCCCGAAAGGGATCACAGTAACAGGTCCTGGACAGAGTGGGGGAAAATGTGGAACAAAACTCAAAATCATAAAAAAGACCAAGCTGACTGATCTGATGAAGACTGATAGAACCCCTAAGACAATGGCCCTTAGACACCCTTCAAGCCTGGAAGTGATTCAACTGGCAGCCAAACAATAGACAGGCCTATAAGGTGAATAAGGTGAACAGTAATGTCAGGAGTGTATGTACTCATTAGAGCAATCAAGCATATGAGGTCAAGAGGACAGCCCAGGGATAAAGCTAGGAAGATGGGAAGGGATGGGAAGGACAAAGGGAATAGATGGGCACAGGGGGAAGTGAGAAGAGTGCTGTTACAGTGTGGGGACTGAAGTAAAAGTCACAAAACACAACATAGATGGATTGTTGAATGGAAAACCAATTTGCTCTGTAAACTTTCACCCAAATCAGAATAAAATAAAATAAAATAAATACCAGTTGTCCTTGAGTTGGTTCTGACTCTTGGTGACCCACATGTATGAGAGGAGAACTGGGCTCCAGAGGGTTTTCAGTAGTTGATTTTTCAGAAGTAGGTCTCCAGGCCTTTTCCCAAGGCACCTTTGAGCAGACTCAAGTCTGCAAACTTTGACTTAGTAGATAAGCACATTAACCATTTGCACTACCCAGGGACTGTATTCAAGCTCACTGTTAGTAGTTACCACCGAATTGACTCATGGCAATTTAAGTATAATAGAAAGAAATATTGCCCATGCCATCTCCATGGTCTTTGGTGCAGTTGAGCCCACCATTGAACCTGTTGTGTCAAGCCATCCCTTTGAGGGCTTTCCTCATTTTCACTTGACCAAACATGATGTACTTTTTTAGCAGTTGGTCTTTCCTGATGTGCCTTATATAGGGTTCAAAATATTTTAATTATTATATGACTATATGGAACTTTAGGAGCTCTGGTAGCATAGTGCCTAAGGCACTTGACTACTAACCAGAAGGCTGGAGGTTCAAACCCACCAGCCACTCCTCAGAAGGAAGGTTGGGCAATCTGCTTCCGTAGTGATACTGCCTTGGCAACCCAAGGAGGGGTCGCTATGAGTCGGGGCCGACTCGATGGCACATAACAACAACAACATATGGAACTTTGGGAGCTCTGGTAATATAGTGCCTAAGGCACTTGACTGCTAACCAGAAGGCTGGAGGTTCAAACACACCAGCCACTCCTCGGCAGGAAGATGAGGCAATCTACTTCCATAGTGATACTGCCTCGGAAACCCAAGGAGGGGTTGCTATGAGTCGGGTCTGACTCGATGGCATGTAACAACAACAACATATGGAACTTTTATTTCATTTATTCTTATATTTTCAAAGACATTCTTCCCTGTTTCTAATCTCTTTTTCAGAAAATCCAAGCAGAGATCACAGCCCACGAGCTAACTCTAGAAGAGTTGAGAAGAAGCGTGCGTTCTCAGCCCCCGACCTCTCCCGATGTCAGGGCTGCCAGAGGAGGCTCTCAGATGGATGTGCTACAGGTGAAGCAGCGAGCTTGCCTTGTACTTTCCAATAGGTTTAATGTAAAAAGAAACTTTGAAAGAGTTGATTACTTGGGTGCCTTTGGTATTCATTATGATGTAAGCAATGGGATGGGAGTGATGTGTTGAAGGGACATTGCACTCCAGGGCACAGAAACATGAGCAGAAAATTACTGAATCTGACTTTTATTGTTGACAAGAGAGAGAAAGAAAGCTTGGTATATTTAAAAGTTATTTTTACATGTTGAATTTAGGTGCCATCAAGCTGATTCCTACTCATAGCAACCCACAGGACAGAGGAGAACTGCTCCATAGGGTTTTTTGGTTAGAGTCTTATTTATTTAAGTGTTACATAGTTGTCACTGTTGAGAATAAACAAAACACACCACTTCAGCAGTTCATACCCACAGCATTTGGTGACACTGATTACATTATTCGAGTTGTGTAACCATTCTCATCCTCCTCCTCTGAGTTATTCCTCTCTCTTTAACAGAAACTCACTTCCCTCTTAAGGTTCCTGTCTAACATTTTGAGTTGCTGTTATCACTTAGATCTCATATAGATCTTGACAGGGCATAATACTCAAGGCAGACTTTTTTTTTTTTTAAACTAGTTAAACAGTTTGGTTTTAGAATGACTTCAGGGTATTTTTTGGTTTGAGGTTTAAAGATGATCTCAGGGCAATAGTTTCAAGAGTTCTTCCAGCTTCTGTGGCTTCAGAAAGTCTGGAGTCCATGAGAATTTGAAATTCCTTTCTGCATTTTCCCCCTTTTAATCAGAATTCTTCTTTGGAAGTTTGATTGAAACATTCAGTATTGGTAGCTGGGCACCATCTAGTTCTTTTGGTCTCATGGCAAAGGAAGAAGTTGTTTATGGGCAGTTAGCCACATGTTCCATATTCTTCTATTTCTGATGCTGCTGCTTCCTTTGCTACTCCACGTGAATAGATACTCAGTGTTGTGCCTTGGCCAGCTGATTGCAAGCTCTTAAGACCCCAAGCACTGCACAGTTATCTAGGAGGTAGAGCAGAACCAGTAAATATTATTAGGCTAATAAACTGAGGTGTGCCATGGAACTATGACCCTAAATCTCTAAACCAAGGAACCAAATCCCATGAGTTTTGGGTTGTATATAAGCAGTCTCGGTAGGTATTCTTTCTGTTTTTTGTCATTGTTGTAAATAGTATCTATCACGCAACTTTTGCCCTTTCAGCTTTTTACAGGTGTACAACTTATTGACAGCAATTGCAATAATGACTCTGTAACCCTACCCTTAATGTGATTTTTCCATACCTATTAATCCTCCTTTTCCTCACTCCCTCCCACCCTTGGTAGCCATGAAGAAACTTTGGTCTCTGTACATTTGTACTTTCTTGTCTTTTTATGTAAGTGAGGTCATCCAATATTTTTCCTTTTGTGATTGATTTATTTCACCCAGCATAGTATCTTCAGGCTCCCTCCATACTGTAGCTTATATGAAGAGCCCATTTCTGCTGCTGTTGAGTAGTAGTTCATTTTATGTAAGTGCCACTCTTTGTCTGTCCGTTCATCTGTTGGTAGGCATTTAGATTGTCTCCACCTTTGGTGATGTGACTGGTGCTAACAGTGAACATTAGTGTACAGGTCTTTGTGTGAGTCTGTGCTTTCCCATCTTCGGGTGTACACCAAGGAGTGGAATTTGTGGGTCATACGGTAGTTCTATTTTTGTGGGTCATATGGTAGTTCTGTTTTTCATCTTTTGAGGAACTTCTGCACTGTTTTCCAGGTGGCTGTACTATCTTGCATTCCTACTAGCAACGAGTAAGGTTTCTAACTCCCTACATGCTCATCAACATTTGTTATTTTTTTTTTATTTTTTTAAAATCTCAGCTTTCCTAGTGAGAGTGAAATGATATTTCATTGTGGTTTTGATTTGTGTCTCTCTGATGGCTAATGACACTGAGCATCTTTTCATGTGTCAGGTGGCCATTTGAGTGTCCTTTTTGGTGAAATGCCTATTCAAGTCCTTTGCCCATTTCATAATGGGGTTTTGCCTTTTTGTTGTTGTCAATGTTATATATATATACTTTTTTGCTGGATATAGGTTTCTGAAGGAGCTCTGGTGGTGTAGTGGTTAAGGAATTGGCTGCTATCCAAAAGGTTGGTGATTTGAGTCCACCAACCACTCTGAAGAAAGATGAGGAACTGTGCTTTTGTAAAGATTTATAGCCTTGGAAACCCAGTGGGGTCACTACAAGTCAGAATCAACTTGATGGCAGTGAGTTTGGTTTATGCGGTTTCTGAAGATATTTTGCTAGTCCGTAACTTGTCTTTTCACTGTTTTGGTATGTCTTTTGATGAACAAAAGTTTTAGATTTTTATGGAGCTATTTGTGCTTTTGTTATTATGTTAGATAACCCATTGTTAAAAGCCAGAACTCTGAATATAGCCCCTGTTTTTTTTCCCCTAATAATTTTATGGCTTTAGTTTTCCCATTTAGGTCCTTAATCCATTTTGAATTTGTTTTCATGTGTGGTGTGAGGCATAGGTTCTGTTTCATTTTTCTGCTTGTAGAAATCCAGTTTTCTCAACACTTTTAAGAGATTCTCTTTTCCTCATTGAATGGGCTTAGCCCTCTTGTCAGAAATCAGTTAACCATAGATATGTGGGTTTATTTCTGAATCTTAATTCTATTCCGTTGCTCTATATGTCTTCAGGAGCTCTGGTAGCATAGTGGCTAAAGCACTTGACTGCTAACCAGAAGGCTGGCGGTTCAAACCCACCAGCCACTCCTCGGAAGGAAGGTTGGGCAATCCTACTTCCGTAGTGATACTGCCTCGGAAACCCAAGGAGGGGTCACTATGAGTTGGGGCCGACTCGACGGCACATAACAACAACATAACAATATGTCTTTTGTTATTTAGCAGGCTATTTTGATTACTGTAGCTATGTACTATGTTTTAAAATCAGGTAATATGAACCTCCTAGTTTGTTCTTCAATTTCAACATTGCTTTAGCTATTGGAGTTCTTTTGCCATTCCACAGACAATTGAGGATTGGTTTTTCTATTTCTGTAAAGAAGCTTGTTGGAATTTTGATCAAGATTGCATTGACTCTGTGGATTGCTTTGGGTAATAGTAACATCTGAACAATATTCAGTCTTCTACTCCATGAACATGGAACATCTTTTCATTTTGGCTGTAATCTTTCTCCTACAGAGCTACTAGGTAGGTTTGAACTGCCATCCTTTCAGTTAGCAGACTTTCTCTTTAATACAGAATACTTGTCAGTACTGGGGTGACTGGTGTGCTAGGCAGGCAGAACACTCATGAAGTGTAGCACCACTTAGTTTCTTAATAGCTAATGTGACATTGACTTTCACCCTGAGCTTATGATGAAAGTCATTTCGAGTTATAGGTTCTAGAAGTTTATTTTTCATACTGATGAGAAAGTTCATTAGATTTTCATTCCAGAGAGGTCAGGTTAGTTTTTATTATTGGTAAGACTGATAAGTAATTCATGGAACTGAGCTGTGCAGTTTACTTAGGTGATCATGTAATCTTATCATGAATTTTAGGATATTTTTTGTCATGCCCCTGAATACTTATATTCATGCTTTATTTTAAAGCTTTTTAGCAGTGTTTGTTATACTGATTTATCTGAAAAGAGAGATTATCATTCTGATGTGAGTGGCTTGTTATTGTCTCTGCAACAGAGGAAACTGCGAGAGGTGTCCACGAAGTTCCAGCTCTTCCAAAAGCCTGCTAACTTTGAGCAGCGCATGCTGGACTGTAAGCGAGTGCTGGATGGGGTGAAATCAGAACTGCATGTTCTGGATGTGAAGGATGTGGACCCCGACGTCGTACAGACCCACCTGGACAAGTGCATGGTGAGGCTGTAGGTGCTTAGCATATCGTGGGTGTTTCTCAGCAGCCTGTGGGTAAGCCTAATGCTTTTCTTTGAAAGTTGTTAGTCTACAGTGTGCTAAACACTGGGATCAACAGTGGGAAACAGGATAAAAATAAGAATAAATAAGTGATTCTTCCCCTTAAAGAGCCTAGAAGAGAGGGGAAAAATCCAATCCAAACCAAAGTAGTTGCTGTTGAGTCGATGTTAACTCTTGGCAACTCCATGTGTGTCAGAGTAAAACTGTGTTCTATAAGGTTTTCAGTGGCCATTTTTGGGAAGTAGAGCCCCGGGACTCAAACCTCCAGTTTTTTGGTTAGTAGCCGAGCTTTCAACTACTTATACCGCTGAGTGTAATGAAATAAGGAAACTAGAATAGGCATGTATACAAGATGGTTCAGGAAAACAGAACAGAACAGAGGAAGCTCACTCTAATCATAGCATCAGGTTAGGAGAAGGCTCTGGCAAGATATGACTAATGAGCTAAGTTTATAAGGATATATTTGAGTTAGCTAGAAGAAGCATCCTTACAACTGGACCAACAAGCAATATAAAAAAAAAAAAAATGAAGGAAAGATTGAGGTTGTCAGGGATTTAATTTTACTTGAGTCCATATTTAACACCCATGGAAATAGCAGTGAAGAAATCAGATGATGTATTGCACTGGGCAAATCTGCTGCAAAAGACCTCTTAAAAGTGTTAAAGAGCAAAGGTGTCACTTTGAAGACTGTGATACACCTGATCCAAGCCATGGCATTTCCAACAGTCTCCTAAGCTTGTGAAAGCTGCACAATGAATAAGGAAGACTGTGGTGGTTAAGTTTGTGTGTTATCTTGGCTGAGCTTGGTTGAGTGGCTGGGCAGTTGAGTGTAGTTATTCCCCATGATGAGACTGGTAATTAACTCCATGGTGGAATCTATTGGAGCAGCCAAGTAGCTGCTTTGGGATATGGTCTGCTTCCTGTATATAAGAAGCAGCTTTGAGAATGGTCTCTAGCCTATGGTATGCTTGAACCCTGCATGTAGCTGTGTTGTTGTTCAGCAGCCTGCCATGCTCTGCTGACCTTGGGACTTTCAAGAGACTTGAATTAATGACCTGCTGTGTGGTTTGGTAACATTGGGACTATGCCTTTTTACTTGTCAACCTTGGGTTTGTTAGCCTCAGCAGCCAGTGGCTTTCTAAGTGAAGAGATGCCTCTAGCTTCAGTGGGCTGGGAGCAGGAGGCAGAGCTGCAACCCAAGGTTGAGGGGCTTTCACCCAGCCCCCAGAGCCTGGCACTTTGAACTTGGACTTATAGCCTACCAAATTGTAAGAGAATAAACTCCTGTTTCTTCAAGTCATGCTATTTATAGTATATTCCTGTCAGAGTGGCACTAGGTAACCAGAACAGAAGACCACAGAAGAATTGATGCATGTGTTGTTGTGGTGTTGTGGAAGAATACTGAAAATACTGCTAGAAAAATGAGCAAATCGGTCTCAGAAGAAGTGCAGCCAGAATGCTCCTTAGAAGGGAGAATGGCCAGACTTTGTCTCGCTTACTTAGTTTATGTTGTCAGAAGGGACTGTTCCCTGGAGAAGGAATCATGCTTGTTAAAGTAGAGGGTCACTGAAGACAGAGAAGACCCTCAATGAGATGGACTGACACAGTGGCTGCAACAATGGGCTCAAGTACAGCAAGGATTGTCAGGATGACGCATGACTGGCAGTGTTTCATTCTGCTTTACATAGGGTCGCTGTGAGTTGGAGCTGACTTGATGGCACCTAATAGCAAGAAGAAGCATATTTAGAATGGATATCAGGAATATTACAGAGTGAAAAAAAAGTAAAATTTTAAGTTCTAATTTATAAAGTTTAAGCCTAAAGTATGAAAGAAGAAATTATACTTAAAATGAATGTCAGGAGTATTACAGTATAAAAAATCATCCCCTTGGAAAATTAAAAGTTTAACTTCTAAGTTACAATGTTTAAAGCTAAGATATGAAAGAATAAATTACATATAGGCCTTATTACTATCTTAGTCTTGAGCTTTGTCTTTAAATTGAATACAAGTTTGAAATGAAATGGCCAGGAAGACACAATATTAGAATTAGTGTCCTGCTTGATCATCCTGAAGAAATCAAAGATGACATTTATGTTGTATTTGATTAGAATAAGAGAAACCTGGGAAGAGTTTTTTCTGTTTTTCAAAACTGCACTCGCCACAAGTTATTGTTCACATATTGAAGGCCATTTGATTACTCCAAAGCTGGAATGGCTAGAAGGGTGAACAAATACGTATTTAATGTATATGTGTGTGTGTGTGTGTGTATATATATATATATATATATATACACACATACACACACACACACACACATTTATTTACTGGGATATAGTAGTAAACAAAACAAACACCATCCTTGACCTTGTGTAACCTGACCTAGTCCACTGTTACAACTTGACCTAGTCCACTGTTATAAGACGACGCCATATAAAATGTCTCAGATTGAGACTATGATGCATGAAGACTGGAGAACCTGGCCAGAATAAAGGTTTTTGGTGTCAAGGTAACCACTGAAAGGATCCCTGGTGGCACAGTGGTTAAATGCTCATCTGCCAATGGTAAGATTGGCTGTTTGAACCTACCAGCCCCTCCATGGGAGAGAGATGTGACAGTCTGCTTCCTTAAAGATTGTAGCCTTGGAAACCTGTGGAGCAGTTCTAATCTGTGCTGTAGGTAATGAGTCAGAATCAGCTTAACGGCAACAGGTGGAATGAGAACAGCTTGAAATTTGATCTACAGGATTCTGATTTCCTATTGCCCTACATATCGTGATGTATTTTGAGGTTTATATATTTTTTTATTATATAACTAATACAAGCTCATTATGGTAGACATGGTACTTTGAGAAATACAATGAAGAAATGAATACAAATAATTTTTTACTACTCTTAACATTTAGGATTTTTAAAAATATGATTTTAAACATGATAAATATTCAGTCCTAATATTTTTCTACTTTATATAGGAAAATAACTTATATTATTAAATACTTTCATAAGCATTTATAACACAATTTCAAGTTTTTTTAAAAACAAGATTTACCTCTTAATAGCTTATATTTTCTTATCTGACTTTAAAAGTGTATTATGACCTTGATTTCATTCAGTGCATTTTGATTTCCATAGTCAATTGTTCACTGTCAATCTGTGTGTAGGGTGTGTTCTGAAATGCTCCTTGTTAGTGAATTTTCAGTCTCTGGGTGGAGCAAATGGGTAACATGTTTGACCGCTAACTGAAAGGTTGGTGCGTGGAGTTCACCCAGAGGCACCTGGAAGAAAGGCCTGGTGACTGGCTTCCGAAAGGTCACAGCCATTGAAAAGCCTGTGGAGCACAGCCGTACTCTGACACGCGTGGGGTCACTATGAGTCAGAGTGGACTTGACGGCAATAGTTTAGGGAGTTCTACTACAATATGTATATTGTCTTTTTTTATTAATATTTTTAAGAAACTCTATAAAACTTTGAGTGAAGTCAAGCTTGAAGTCGAGACTGTAATCAAAACAGGAAGGCACATTGTCCAGAAGCAGCAAACTGATAACCCCAAAGGGATGGACGAGCAGCTGACTTCTCTGAAGGTCCTCTACAATGACCTGGGTGCCCAGGTGAGGAGGGAAACCACACCCATTCTTCTCTGACTGACTGTCTCTCATTTGCTTGCTCTCTCTGTCTCTCATTTATGTATTTTTAAATTTCACTTCTTAGACAATGCATGGTTGAGTTTTATGGCATTTAATATATACTTTAAGTTATTCCCACAATTTTTATGGTTTTCAATGGGCACTTATATTTAATATGTTATTCTAGGAAAACTGTACAAATGATGGTTTCTGTATAAATTTAAGTTGTTGGTTCTTGGATTTCTAAATTGAATTGTCTGAGAAATGTGAAAATGTCTAAACTCTAATAAATACGACATGGCAGGAAGTTCCTGTAAATCTACCAGGATTTAAAATCCTTCCAAGAAGCATCTATGGTTTGGGCCTTCTGGCAAATCCATGGGGGAGTTGTGGGTCTATGTACTGTGAGTGACTGGACCCAATAGACTGCTGTCTTCTCTCACTGTGAATCTTGGCTTTGAAGCCAGGAAAGCAAAAGTGTGTGTGTGGAGCTGAAACATTTTTGGCAGTGTTGAAAAATGGTGTTAGGTAATGTTCTGAATCCTACTTGGGTTATTAAATACTAATAACTTCCAGTTGAAGTAAAATTGAAGTTTCTACATATGCCCAGAGAACACTAGCTGAAATTTTATCACTTTCTGATCACTTAATAGGAATAAACAGTTCATATATTTTCTAGACAATTTTGGCCTTATTTCTGCAAGATTAGATTTTGGGTGTGATATATTTCGATACATTGCATATCGGGAACACACATTATAGAGTTTCTTCTTGGTAGTTTACTGCTGATGTTATTTATTAAATATTATTATATTCATTCATTGCCTGGCATTTTATAGGGAACTGTGGTGGTACTGTGGTTAAAGCATTGGGCTGCTAACTGAAAGGTCTGTGCTTTGAACTGAACAACCACTGTGCAGGAGAGAGATGAGGCAGTCTACTTCTGTAAAGGGTAACAGCCTTGGAAACCCTATGAGCAGTCCTACTCTGTCCTATAGGGTAGGTATGAGTTAGAATTGACTTGATGGCAGTGGGTTTGGGTTTAGAGGGCATTTTATGGATGGAATGGTATTGCTGGCTTTTATACTAATTTTCTAATTGTAATTATGATTTTAGAGTTAATGAATTTGCTCTGTCAACACAATTGGGACTTTACTATGTGCCAGGAGTTATAGCAGCCTGTAAGTGTATTGTAGTGAGCAAAAACATAAATTATCTCTTCCCCTAAAGGAACTTACAGTAGTGAAGGAGAAACATATTAATCAAGTAGTAACACGAAGTCATGCTAGATTATAAGTGTGAAGTGTTATAAGGAAGAGCATGTGGTGCTTTAAGAATATACGTGTAGGGGCTTTGGCCCAGTATGGAATTAGGAAGCCTTCCTTCCAAGAGCAATGCTTGAGCTAAGATCTGATGGATGTAAGTTGAATGAGGAGTAACCTGGCTAAAGCCTGAGGAAAAGCTGCTGAGGCTGATGGAACAACATTTGTAAAGCCCTGTGGTAGGAGGCAGTATGGCATGTTTGTGTGACTAGAACAGCGAGCAAGTGTTGGGAACATGGTGTTGGAGCTATAGGATGGGACAAGACTCTGGCAGGATCTTAGAGTTTGTCTTTAGGATTTAAATCTCTATTTTAAGAGCAGGTATTAGCTGGGAGATAACATGCTCAGATAGGTGTTTTTAAAAGTTCTTTCACTGCAGTTTGGGGAGTGGTGTGCAAGGAAGGAGCCCTGGTGGCAAAGTGGTTAAAGTGCTTGGCTGCTAACTGAAAGATTGGTGGTTTGAACCCATCAGGTGCTCTGTTTTCTGTGGCAGAAACATATGGCAGTAAGCTTCTGTTAAGGTTTATAGCCTCAGAAACCATATTGGACAGTTCTGCTCTGTCCTTACAGGGTTGCTGTGAGTCAGAATTTACTCAGTGGCAATGAGTTTAGTTTTTTTTTTTTTTGAGGGGGGGATTTTAAGAGTAGATGTTTGCGAAAAGGACAAGGAAGCCACATGGTCCGACTTCCTCTAACCCCACAAAAGGAAGACAGAGTCGCCATCAATAACCCAAGGCCTATTCCTATAAGGCCAGACATGCTGCCTCCCTCCAGCCCTTTCACCAACCTTTCCTCCCAAAGCACCCACCACCTCTCTCCTGGGTTCGATAATTCGCTGCAGTGACCCTACAGAACAGATTATGGGGCTTATTAGGGAAGCACCACAGGCTACAATTCAAGTTCAGGAAAAATGCTCAGTCTCTCTCCCAGCCCACCATCCCTCAGCCAACAGTCTCTCACAGTCTCTTTTCCAGCAGTGCGTGTCCCTCGGTGTCTCACTCAGCAATGCGTGTGTCTTGCATCTCTTTCCCAGCAACACGTGTCTCAGGAGTGCGTCTCTTTCAGCAGCACATCTTCCTCAACCAGCAGTCTGAGAGAGCTCTGTCTTCAGGAGGCTTCCACTTAGCCCAGCTGAGTGGTCAAACCAACCAATCATAACATCAGAATTCTGAACACCTGAGAGAGAGCAGGACCCTCCCACAACATTGTTTAGTGCCATTCCCAACAGAAATACCCCAGGTGAACAACTTTGGCAATCAGGAGCTCCTCAGTTGCTCATGGCAAATTCCACCTTGGAGTTTACAAAGACTTATGGGTAGAAAAGCCACACTAAGTAATTTACTACACTGCAATGTTTTAAGAGTAGACTCATAAGCAATTAGCAAGTCATTGTAGTCTTACTCTTGGTGAGAAATGATGATGGCTTGAACTAGGATGGAGCAGCAGAAATGGAATAAAGTACATGGATTTTAGACATATTTAGGGAGTGAAATCAATAGGACTTGGTGATGGATTGATTGGTTATAGGGGAACAGAAGAAGGAGATATCAAGGTTGACTCCTGGGTTTCTGACTTGCTTACCTAGATGATTGTTGTATTGTTACTTGGATAGGAGCACTGGAAGGAAAAGCAGGAACATGGAGAAATCTTTAGTATGGTATTGGACATCTTGATGTTTTAGGTGCCTTTGAGAGAGTTGATTGGAGATAACAAGTACGTCATTATTCAGGTAGGGAGAGTATTTCTGAGTGGAAGACCTGACGATTTGAAAGTTTTCAGGGTTGATGAGGTTGCCTAGGGAAAAAGCATAGTGCAAAAAGAATACCTTGGACCAGGCATTCAGGAATTACACTGTTGTTGTTGTTATGTGCTGTCAAGTCGGATCCGACTCACAGCGACCCCAACTTGGGTTTCTGAGGCAATACCACTATGGAAGTAGATTGTCTACCCTTCCTTCCGAGGAGTGGCTGATGGGTTTGAACCTCCAGCCTTCTGGTTAGCAGTCAAATGCCTTAGGCACTACACCACCAGAGCTCGTAGAAATCACACTATTGCAAAAAGAAACTGAAATAAGAGTAGCAAGAGGTGTTAGGCAAACCAGGAGAGTGCTAAGGGCTAGAAGGCCAAGAGGAGAACATATTTCAGGATTTGCTAATGTGGCACAACTCAAAATGGGAAGAACGGCTGCAAAAATCCATTAATAATCAGAACATGGAATGTATGACGTATGAAACAAGGAATATTGGAAGTTGTCAAAAATAAAACTGAACGGAGAAAGATTGATAACCTAGGCATTAGTGAGCTGAAATGGACTGGTTTTGGCTATTTTGAATCACACAGCCATATGATCTACTGTGCTGGGAGTGACCAAGTAAAGAGGAATGATGTGGCATTCATTGTCACAATAAATGTATCAAGATCTATTCTGAAGTACAATGCTGTCGATGATAGGATAATACCCATACGCCTACAAAGAAGATTCATTAAAATATTTCAACAAATGGATGCTATGTTGGAGGCAATTACTCATGTAAGCCAAGAAATTTGGAATACAGTTACCTGGCCAGCTGACTGGAGAGATCCATATTTGTACCCACTCCAAAGAAAGGTGATCCCACAGAATGTGGAAATTATCAAACAATATCATTAATATCACATGCAGGTAAAATGTTGCTGAAGATAATTCAAAAACAGTTGTGGCAGTATGTTGACAGGGAACTTCCAGAAATGCAACCTGAATTCAGTAGAGGGTGTGGGATGAGGTATATTATTGCTGGTGTCAGATGGGTCTTGGCTGAAAGCAAAGAATACCATAAAGATGTTAACTTGTGTTTAGTTGATTACACAAAAGCATTTGACTGTGTGGATCATAACAAATTGTGGATAACATTGAGAAGAATGGGAATTCCAGAACACTTAATTGTGCTCATGAGGAACCTGTACATAGACCAGGAGGCTATGGTTTGAACAGAAGAAGGGAATATTGCATAGTTTAAAATCAGGAAGGAGTGTGTCAGGGTTGTATCCTTTCACTACAGGACTATATGAAGAAGAATGTGGAATCGGGATTGGAGGAAAACTCGTTAACAACCTGTGATATGCAGATGACACAACCTTGCTTGCTGAAAGTGAAGATGACTTGAAGCACTTACTGATGAAGATTAAACACTGTAGTCTGCAGTATGGATTACACTTCAACATAAAGAAAACAAAAATCTTCACAACTGGACCAATAAGCAGCATCACAATAAATGGAGAAGAAAGGATTGAAGTTGTAAAAGATTTCATATTACTTAGATCCACTATCACCACCATGGAAGCAATAGTCAGGAAATCACATGACATACTGCACTGGGCAAATCTGCTGCAAAAGACCTCTTTGAAATGCTGAAGAGCAAAGTTGTCTCTTTGAAGACTGAGGTGCACCTATTCCAAGCCATAGTATTTTCAGTCACCTCATATGAATGTGAAAGCTGGACAGTGAATAAGGAAGACAGAAGAAGACTTGATGCTTTTGAGTTGTGTGTGGTGTTGGCGAAGAATGGTGAAAGTTGCATGGACTGCCAGAAGAATGAACAAATCTCTACTGGGAGAAATGCAGCCAGAATTCTCCTTGGAAGGAAGAATGGTCCAGCTTGTCTCACCTGTACCTACTTGGTCATG